GCCCCGTCTGCTGGCGGCTTCTGGGAGACAGCATAGTCTGCAGTGCTAGGACAGGCAGGAAGCTGCCTTGGCACCCTTTGCTGCACTTCTAACTGGGAGCCACTCAAGGTAAGCCCGTCCTGCCCCAGCCCCGTCCCCCTTTCCTCCCAAAGCTGAAGCTCTCATCCTCATACCCCACGCCAGGGCCCATATTTTAGTCAAATTAGGTTGGGTTGCAGGCATCAACAAGTTTCTTCAACTGGGTCATGAGAAAAAAAATGTTTGACAACCACTGCTCTAGTAGACAATTCTCTACTACTGAACAAGAGCTAGCAAGACTTGTTCTGAAAAGGCCTCTTCATCCAACTTCAACCATAGAATCGTAGAACACTAGAACTAGAAGGGACCTCAAGAGGCCATAGAGACAAGTCTCCTGCCCTCATGGCAGGACTAAGCATGGAGTAACCATGCAGTCAGGCAAAAGAAACAGAGGTTTGGGTGGAGAAAACAGCAGTTTTCTTGCAAGATCAGGGCCCGGTGGGGCAGAAGAGGCAGCAGATGCAACTCTGACAGGTCCAGCAGTGTCCCTCTCATGGGATGCTGTGGCACAGGGGACCTGGGAGGAGGGTGGAAGTAAAAGAATTCAAGTCCCTTGGTGGGCACATAGTACTTCTCCTCTGCCTCATTCAAGTGGGAGGGCGAGAAGATGGGGTATACCACAGGGAGTGGACAAGACCCATAACAGTTTCATTGTTGGGTAGGGACTTCTTTGACTGGGCTGCCAAGGCCAAAGCGTCCATGAGGCAATGTGAAGCCTTTTTAAGAACCATTACCCTTTAGCTTCAGGTTCCAAGCCAAACTTCTTATCAGCTCAGTGGGCTCTCAAGTCAGTTTGTGGCACCAAACCACTTGGTCCTGAGAGAAGCTTCCTCCTCCTTCTCTTCAGGAAATGCTGGGCCAGCCAGGGTCTTCCTCTTCGTCTTGTACCCCAACTATGTCCACCACTTCGGTCCTGTGCATTGGTACCAGAGTCGGGTTGCTGCCAGATGGTGAGTTGGAGGAGCCCCCCTCAGACACCGCTATGATCCTGCTGGCACTGTGGTGATGGCCTGGCACTGGACTCAGTGGCATCTGAGCAGGGATGAGTCGACGGTGCCAGTCAGACTGGGAGTGGAGGAGTGGCCTGACACGGGCTGTACTCCACTGCTCTCACTTTGTCTTCCTTCAGTACCAACCCCCTCTGGGATTGTTGCTGCTTATGCTTCTTTCTTGGAGAATGGTGCTGGAGATTCTCATGGCAGAGTGCAATGGGTGTAGCTTGGATGCTGGTTAAGGGCCGCTTCCATTAGCATAGCCTCCCAATTTCCTCCGTCATATGAGGCTTGAAATCCAGGTAGATTTAACAGCACCGTCTACGTGCGCCTTTCCCTGACACTTCACACAACTCGTGTACGGGTTGCTCACTGATGCAGGCCTGCTGTAGAAAGCACAGGGTTTGAAGCCTGGAGACTGGGGCATGCCCGGTACCAGAGGCCAAAGCTAAGAGAGGGAGTCTAACTATGTACATCAATAGTATCTAACTATGTGCACTACTACACGAAACAAAGATTAATATCACTAATCCAGAGAATAGCGGGGGAAATTCACAAGAAGAATGCTTTGCCAGAACAGGAGGAACTGTTCTAGCAGCTCTCATTAGTGGTAAGAAGGAAATGAGAGGGTGCTGGGCTGTCTGGGCCCCTTATACCAGCACGTAAGCACATAGAACCAGAAGGCACTGGAGTCGACTTGCTGGATAACACTGAGGGTATAACCTCTGGCAGTGCTGCATGCGATGTGTACATACCTAACGTGGAATGGGCATGAACAAACCCTCAAAGAAGAATTAGATGTTCTTCTAAAGTTCAACCACGCCATGTCTATAGCTCAACCAGAATGTATGGGCTTGTTGCAGGGAAAACTGAAATTCTATTACTTCTGCTATGCAGCAAGAGGTCAGACTAGAATTCAGTGTTTCTTAAACTTTTTAAGACCAAGGAACACCAAACAAATTTTTTTTTAAATGAGGAACACCAAGAATTTTTTTTGTTGAGCATCGTGACTTCTTTTGCATCGTGTCTATTGCTGGCAAATACCTGATTTCCAGAATGAAGGATTGACAGATTATCCTTTTGACTTTCTGGAGCCTGGTTCACAACTCATGCTAACTTGACAGCAGTTCTATCTGCAAGATGATGAACACAACCATCCTCCTGCAGCAGTTATACACCGCTGTAATTCAGAGGAGAAACAGGCGCCTTGGCCTAAGGATCGTCAGCGATTATCCTCCTACATATCTGATTATCACTGCAGCAAGAATTAGAATAAATGCCCCTGTTTTCAACATGACCAGAGAGTGTACAAGTCCCATCTTGTACCAGCTTGTCTGCAGGGAGCTATACTGGAAGTACTGAGGTTCTCGGTTTCCCTCTTCAGCCAAGATTAGTAGAAATAAAATTTGTTTGCAGTCTAAAGACTTGCCAGTATTTGTAGGTCAGCTTTTTAGCCTGTCTAGGGAGTGCACCATGAGCATGCTACAGCTGGAAACACACTTATCTTTCGTTACTGTAGGTTAGCTCTGCTGTCTGTTACATGCATTGCCTTTTGTCTTCATAATTAGCCAACGAGCAACACACAGCTTCAACCAGGAACCTGTTCTGCTGTGTGCCAACGCCTGTGCTCCAAGGAAGGAGAGTGGAGGGGCAAAGTATATTCTGAGATGACACACTCAACAACAATGTTCGATGATCATGGCGAAAACCATTCACTAGTTCCGCACTGTGCATGCACGAGACCCAACTGCTGGCTGAAATCTACTTGCCACAGGCGAGTAGATAAGCGGATTTGTCGAGCCCTGCTCATCAATATATAGCTAAGCCACAATGAAAACCAGAGGTCAGAGGTTCAGTCCATTAACTGTGCGCTGATATAAGTTTGTTCCAGACTTTCTCAAGGGCTTTTTCCATCACTTCTCAAGACACATTATTCCACAGATCTAACAGATCTCGTTTTCAAGAAGTCTTTTTATTATTTGGCTTACATTTTCCTTTTCTTCATTTTCTTCCTTTTCCATTGCTTCAAGCTTGTAACCCCTTCAAAGACTTATTATATTTACAGGAATTATTAAACAAATGCCTCCCGCTTTTGACATAGAATTTTTTAATTAAAAAATTCTATGCCATTACGAACACTACAAAATGAGAAACCTTTGCTCCTTTAGGATACTGTTTGAAGGACATGTAGACTAGCTGTGGACAGAACTAAGGTTAGAAGAGCAGTGCAGCAACTTTTCAATAAAACACAAAGTTTTAGTCTTTTCTATCCCTTTGAGATAGACCTGTTATCGCAGCCGTGGGTTTTGCAACGGAAGGCTGGAGAAGAGCTTGTTCCTCAGGTGCCTAAAGTAGAGTCATCACTGTTGGGTTTGGAACAGGTAAAATAAACAGTGTTTATCACACTTCTCAGTGATGGATTTAATGTGATATTTACAATGTGGAACACATTCTAACTTTAAGCTTTAATCATATGCCTAAATTGTTTGCAAGTATCCCTTTAAACTTGTTCCCTCTCACATCTCTCCCTAATAATGGGATGTTTACCTTATTTGGAAGAAAGCAAAATTAGCCCTTAATATTCATCGTAGATGCCAGCTCCACACAGCAAGCTCAAATGTACCATTTATCAAGTTAGCAGGCTTAAGATTGTTGGTGGCTAAAGTTGATCTCTAACCAAGCCGACAGGAAGACTCTATCATGTAGAAAGCTGGACAAGTCTAAGGCTGTGTTTATTTACTGCAAAAATAACTATACAGTTAGAGCTGACAAAACAGCACTTGTGCTAATCTAGCAAGTGTTCTTTGGTCTTCTATCACGCTCGACTGAGCTCTAGGGCTTCCTGGTCAGACTCCTTGAATATTACCTAATCCAAATTCATTTTATCAGAATTATAACCCATTTCTCCTCTCATGTGACACTTGATATGAAGGTCACTGACATCCAAATCACAAATAAAATCTCATGTTCCTCTCCTATTAAAAGCTCCACAAGAGCGCACTCAATTACATGTAGAGCAGCTGTTTCATTTAACAAGTGGAGCTGCAGATGGAAGAGAAACAGAGCAGTGTGTGAAAGAGCAGAATATAGGAGAAAATGTCCATTCATTTACCTTGATCATTAGGCATTTTATCTGAGGATTCAGCTACCAGGCCAAGCACAAGGGAGGAAAAAACAAGAGAAAGATCACCAGGTCTGAAGGAGTTCAGATGATATTCAAAGAACTTCAAAGCAGAATTAAACTCGTTCGAGATTTAAACTCCCATTTTAAAACACAAACACTCCCATAAAATGCTGCTGGATATTAAATCAACACAACTTTTGGAAAGTTATTTTTCACCTCTCATTAGATATATTATCTACATTAACAACTGTCCTATAAAACAATTTCTCCATGTTTCCTTAACCAGTACATGGTTTCAATGTCTTGTTCATTCCTACCCTTTCAACAGTAACCATAACCAAGCATCTCTCGATTAAAGAGGCAGTAATGCCACACTTGTTCATACTATATCATCCATGACACTGACATGTAATGGTTCACAGACCATCAACGCAATATGAACTTATATGCAAATCCTGTCATTTGTACCATTTAATTACACAAAACTGAACACTCCTGCCCCGATCCTTCCCCAAGACCCCTCCCTTGCTTCA